ATCAATATTATTATTTTTAATATCAATATTATTGTTATTATTATTATTATCAATATTATTATTATTATTATTATTACTATTATCATTATTATTATTATAATAATAATAATAATAATAATAATGATAATAATAATAATAATAATAATAATAATAATAATAATAATAACAATAATGATAATGATAATAATAATGATAATAATAATAATGAAAACAACAATACTACTACTTCTACTACTAACAATAATGATAATAATCATCATATGATGACCATCGTCACCATCCTCACTATCCTCTGCACCAAATAATCATCACTATTAAAACTTTCACTACCTTTATCCTCTTCCTTCCTCTTCCTCTTTATCCTCCTCCTCCTTCTCATCCCCTTAATCAAGGCGTTGTTCCACTTTCTCCATCGATATTGCGCTCCTGTCTATCATAATTTCCATATCTATCCCACATCATTTTCTTAAACCAATTTCTTCTACTTTTTCAAAAACGAAATTATCCAAACGGCGACACTGGTGATAACATTGGTGTCTTATTTAATTTATATTCAGATTCCTAATATCATCTAGCCTATTATCATCTTTATTATCTGAAATAGATTGAGAAAAATCGTAGAAAAAAATAGTCATTCATTATTTCCAGTCATTCTTTTTTTCTTTCTTTCTTTTCAGAAACGAAATTAATAAATTGATAGAATATGTTAATGAATAAGGTATTAACTTATCAGTCATTATTATCCGAGCTCTATCTTTCTCAAAAAAGTAACCTAATGTATGTAGATATATAAAAAATAAGTATATAAAAGGTAAAATGAAGGTAGATAAATAAATTGAATAAATTATATGTAAAACAACGCTAAAACTATATAAAATACATAGAAGATGGAGTATGATAAAGGTGGACAAACAACAACCAAAACACAGCATCAAAGACGAGTCAAAAATCGTTCCTACCCCCCCCCCCCCGCCTCCACTGTAGACCAAGAGGGGGCAAGGGGGGCAGGGGGGGGGGTGCGAGAGACCGTGCTTCCGCGACGCCTCTTCCGCGCTCCCTTGCCCTTCCCTCTCCCTCTCCTCTTCTCTTCTCTCCCTCTCCCCCCCTTTTCTTCTCTCCCTCTCCGATGCTTCTCTTCTCTCCCTCTTCTCTTCTTCTCTCCTCCTCACTGTATCATCTCTTCTCCCTTTCTCCTTTTTCTCTTTTTTCTCCTTCCCCTCTCATTTCCCTTCCCCTTCCTCCTTCCACTCCTCCCCCTTCACTTCTCTTCCCTTCCTTCCTTGCCTGTTCCCTTGCATCTCCCTTCATCATTCCTTCCCTCTCTGCTATTCCCCTTCCTCTTCCTTTCCCTTTCGCTCCCCTCTTCATCTCCTCAATCTCTCCCCTCCCCCTCCTCCCTATCATCCCCTCCTCCTTTCCTCCCTCCCCTCCCTATCTCGTCCGTCCTCTCCCTCCTCCCTACCACCTTCACTTCCCTCCCCTCCTCCCTTCCCCCCTATCGCCTCCTCCTTCCCCTCCTCCCTACCGCCCCCACCTCCCTTCCCTCCTCCCTACCTCCCCCACCTCCCTTCCCTCTTCCGCCCCCACCTCCCTTCCCTCCTCTCCCCTTGTCGCCCTCTCCTTCCCCTCCTCCCTACCGCCCCCGCCTCCCTTTCCCTCCTCCCTTCCCCCCTCCGCTCGCCTCGCCTGATACGATCTGGGCGCCCACAAGCCGCTGAGATGAGCTTCGGGCGGCGGGCGGGCGGCTGTGCGAGAGATATTGTCTGACTCCACAGCGGGAAAAGGGAGTAGTGCTTCATGGGAGGCCCGTGCTTAATGCGAAAATGGTGGACGCTGCGTTTGATGGACCCGCTTCCTCGGCGCTGTGTGCTCGGGCGGCGGCGCATGTAGACTCCACTATAGCTCCACTATGCTTTAGATGTATATATATGTACACACACGCACACACACACACACACACACACACACACACACACACACACACACACACACACACACACACACACACACACACACACACACACACACACACACACACACACACACATCACTACACACACACACACACACACACATATATATATATATATAGAGAGAGAGAGAGAGAGAGAGAGAGAGAGAGAGAGAGAGAGAGAGAGAGAGAGAGAGACGTATACATACACACACACACACACACATGTATATATATGTATATATATATATATATATATATATATATATATATATATATATATATATATATATATATATATATATATATATATATACATGTATATACATATAGTTGTGTGTGTGTTTATCTTAAAGGTAAGAAAAAACTGTTGAAATGTGAGAGTATAATTAAACCTTGGAACGCTGCACGTTGCCTTTCCATAGCTCGAAAATGGCCTAAGGTAATGAAAACTGGATGCCGCGTCCGTAGAGTAATCACACATCTCATAGATTTTTTCACTAGTTACAATAAGTCACAATCACGCGTGTAAATATTAGACTCTTCGGC